CTGAACTCTTTCTTTCTCCTCAGAGCTGACATCTGAGAGGCATTCTTCCTCCCCTTGGCCGTGCTGCTTCCAGGAAAGTAGCTGACCTACGACATGAACACTAGTTAGGGTGCTGGGAGGGCAACAGTTTACAATGATTTCTAACATGTTGCCATTTCCTCTGATTTGTCAGTATCCATGTCTGATTATTAATTCACTACTCTGGTAGATAGGGGCTCCTACTAGATCAGTGGTCACTCCACAATCTCTGTAGCAGGGGCTTCAGTGGGGAGCAATTAATTCTGGGAAAGTGGGTCTGAAACCAAGTGAATAGCCCATTACGAAGGCATGGAAAACGTCCACCATCCCTCCTTCACTGAACACAGCCATTAATCTAGAAAAGTAACAGTGCCACTTTTTCAGAGGTCTACCCCGTGTGCACACATGGAGAAGACAGTTAGGATCTACAAGCCAGCATGTTAAGTAATTTTCTTGAGATACTGTGACTTGCACCCGGTTTGCTTCCTTCGCGGCCCTTTTTATCATCTATTTGCTGTCAGTCCCTATGTATTGTCTGGCACAACTTCTAGCATGTAAACGCCAAGAGAGAAGCTTCATCTTATTCCCAGTGTCTGGCACACAGTAATGGTTTTAAATGGCTTTGATTCCCAGACTGGCCTCATGTAATGATGGATCTGTTGTTTCAATGGGGTTTCTGAAATCTTTAGCATCAATACCGAGTCCCATCCTCTCACATTTCACAGGAAGCGAGACTCCTTAAAGCCCCAAAGTTGGAGAAATTTGAAGTGTCTTTGACTGGTTTGATTTAAATTGAATTAAAATAATTACTTAGCACAGAAATAAACTTCAAATGCTTTTTAAGAACGCAACCACCTTTTCTTTCTCTACTTGTTTCTCTTTAAAACAAACTTTGCAACTTTGGGGTGAGGTAAATAATCAGAACTCTAGCTCAAAATTAAATTTTCAATGACACGAAACACTTTTTACTGCCATTTTAAACATCCTATATGTGGTCAGTTAATATGTTGTTATAGAAATTACTTTGGCAACTTAATTCCTAATTCAGGGCACCCATATACTTGATTTACAGAAAGATTCTTCAGCAGAATATTTCATACACGATATATACAGAGGGTGCCAAAAAAAAGTATATACATTTTAAGAAAGGAAAAAACTGTATTAACATTGTAATATTCAATATATACTGATAATAAAAGATGAATACAAGTCCTGTGTATACATTTTTTTGGCACCCCCCCCCTTCCCCCGCATGAGATGCTGAGAGCTGGGTAAAGCACCTCAAGGGAAAAGCATAATAGTTTTTGTCTTATTCAGCCAGAGGGATGGTTCCCATTACAGGCCAGCCACATGTCTCCGTAGCCAGACCACCTGAGGCCAGGCAGTGTCTATTCCTCCTGATCCGGAGCATGGAGGGCTGGGACCCCGATCAGCAGCCCGAGGCCTCAAATTGCTGCAGCAAGTATGTCCAGAGCCTGCCTCTGACCAAGGACGACCTGGCAGCGGCCCCCAGCGTGCAGCTCTACCCCACGGCCCTGTCTTTGCCAGTCAGGATAGGCAGGGCCTTCCATCCTAGGCTGTCAGGCTTCCCCTTACCAATCGGTTGGTTCTCCTGGATTCCATTAGGTGTCACTGTCAGTAATAAAAGACTGATCTCCACTGGGCAGTTGAGATGTGAGGGGAAGTTTTGGCTTAGCCATTGCTGAGAAAGATGTCAGGGTGTTTATTTACGCAGTTTGAATTTGTAGCCTAACCCTGTCCTCAGGCCTTCTAAGCATATGTCTGAGAGGCATGTCTCTTAAGTGTAAAGTGTTCCATGTGCAAAGATATCCAATGATATAAGTGACAAAAAAAAGAAAAAAAAGGCATAGTAGTTTTCAAATGCTGTACCATAATCACACTTAAGGTCACAGTTATATTTTTCTCAAATCCCTGGGATCCTGTTTGAGGGGAGTTCTAAAGGCCTGTGTTCTCTCATGTGGCCACAGCTGTAGGAGTACTCTGGTAGCCCTCAGTCCTGCTTTCATGTCAAATAAATGGTCAGAGCCTCAAGAAAAGCCCTAGAAATCCCCTGCACTCAGTAGCACTTTCAGAGGCTCACATTTTCCCATGGGTTATAGAGCTATGGTCCATGGCAGAGCCTTCCAAACCCTGCTGGCTGTTTGAATGATGGCCACAGTGTGTATGTAACCCTGGAGCGTTTATGCCCACATACTTGAATGAAATCCTGTAATTCGTTAGTTCTGGCACCTATAATCTCTTCACAGGGTTCAGACACCACAGCTCTTTTACCACTTTCTGAAATAAAGTTAACATGGATCAATTCAGAATTTCTTCTTGTTGTTCTAAAAACTTCCTGTATACAATGGTACCACCCAATAATTAGACATTCTTTTGATTTCTAAGACCAGAAAATAAGAGCATTTTCCTAGAAATCCCCTCAGCTCACACTTCAGTTTTTATCATAACTATTTGTGAAAAAATATATCTGAAGTATCAACTTTGTTTGGTTCAAAAAACTTTATGACCTTAGAGACAGGAACTGAGGGATAATGACATTAGAAGTAAAAACTGTGGTAACAGGGCCGGCTGAGTGGCACGTTGGTTAAGAGCTGGCTTGGGATGCCAGCTCTGAGCAGCAGGGCCATGGTTCAGATCCCACATGCCGGCAGTAATGCTGCGCCCTTTACAGCTAAGATGGTGAACAACAGCTTGACCTGGAGCTGGGCTGCTGCGAGTCGCCGGCGTTGGCGTAGGCTGCAGCCCCTGCTGCAGTGGGCTGCCATGAGCTACTGTGAGTGGCCGGCGGCCGGCGTGAGCTGCCGTCCAATGGCTGGTGAGTGACTGCCTCACCTGGGAAGAGCGCAATGATAATATCAACATGGGCCAGTGAAGCGATGTCCTCCACATCTAGACTGAAGAAAAGGCCAGCAACTTGTCTGTTCCCCTTCCCCGATTCCCCAACGCTGTTCCCCAACACTGTTCCCCCAATTCCCCAATAAAATCTTAAAAAATCAAAACAAAACTGCGGTAACAAAAATGTTCAATCATGATATGATTAAATAGTAAGGCATTAGGTGGGGGTCGAAGTGTGTTCAAACCTGGGCTAGCAACCATTGGATGATAGTAGATAATTCATATTAGAAGCAAGGCAAATGTCTACTCCGTGGGAATAAAAATTCTACCAAATACAATGAACAAAGCCAGAGAGAGAGGGGAGGAAGGGAGGGAGAGAGGTAGCATTTGAACGCTCTTTTTAGTCAGAAACGTGCACGTACTTTACAGATAATACAACTCCCTCAAGGCAAACTAGAGCCACAAGGCTTTCTGGTCTAAGGTGTACAAGGGATAACTTGGCATATTATGGAGAGGTAAATAACCCATCCATTTAGTTTGGTTCTTAAAGGTTGTTACTCAGAGTTGAAAACTGATGGAGGTTCTACCTGGTTACCAGGGATGTCAACCTTCGCTGGAAGGGCTGCCTAGGCTGGAAGGCTGAGACCAATCTAGGGGTCAACTCTTACAAGCAAATAAAGTGTCTGACAATGTAACTAAGTTTGTCAGTCTCTAAGCCTGCAAGACTGAGAAGTAGGGGAGCACTTCTGTTTGGGGACTCTCTATTAATGAGAGAGAGAGAGAGAGAGAGAGAGAGAGAGAGAGAGAGAGAGAGAGAGGAGGCACAGCATGTAGCATTCACACCACGGTAAAACCGCAAAGCAGGATCAAAGGAGAAAGTGTTGTAAAACAGGTGTGTGCAAATTCTGGGCAAAGGGAGCCATCCCCACCACGGAGCAGGACAAAGCCTTCGCACTGGCTGTTCCCTCTGCCTGGGATGCTCTTCCCCTAGACATTTGGATGACTAGGTCCTTTACTTCCTTCAGCCCTGCTCAATGTCGCCTCCTCAGAGAGGCTTTCCTTGACTTCCCTTCTAGAACAGTGTCGCTATCACTCCCCCTGCTTCATTCTTTTGCATGGCATTTATCACCACCTGGGAGTGCTCCATATAGTTTTTTGTTTGTGTATTGCTTATCTCTTCCCGAGAATGTGAACACTATGGGGCAAGGGGCTTTGTTTATATCCCCAGCACCGAAAATAGCTCCTGGTACATAATAAGTGCTGAGTTAATAACTGTTAAATGAATATGGAATGTTGTAAAGTTTTTTTAGAGAGGGCTGCTTTTTAAACATGGTTTTCAAAGACGAAAGAGAGAAAAAAAGGTGGCCACGT